AGAAGATCGCGTTCCCGTTCACATTCCGGGTCACCAAAAATACCATCAAAATCTCGTTCTCGGTCGCATTCTAATTCAGCAGAACCTCCTACAAGATCGAAATCACGGTCTCTTTCTCGAAGTCCTAAGCATACATCAAGATCGAGATCAAAGTCTCATTCGCCATTAGGTTCGAAGAAAGGTTCTCGGTCGCCTAAATTATCACCCGAACATTCTCCTTCGGATGTTAGAAAATCACGTTCTAAATCGAAATCTCCTTCTGTGGAAAGTTCGAAGAAAGGTTCTCCTTCGTCGAGAAAAAGCTCACGTTCGAGATCACCGTCGCATTCGGCCGATGAAAAAGCTAAATCGAAATCAAGATCTAGATCCAGATCTGGTTCTGGATCAAGGAAACAATCTTCCGTAGCATCACGTAAAGGAGGATCATTATCGAGATCTCCGAGTCCAGAGCAAAAGGCATTGTCAAGGTCAAAATCTAGATCAAGATCAAAATCAGGATCTAGAAAAGCATCACGATCGAGGTCTGGATCAAGACAAGCATCTAGATCTCGATCAAAATCAGGATCGAGGAAAGGATCTCGATCTAGATCAAGGTCAGGTTCAGGATCGAGGAAAGCATCTCGATCGAGATCGAGGTCAGGATCAAGGAAGATATCCCGATCGAGATCGAAGTCAGGATCAAGGAAAGGTTCCCGATCGAGATCGAGATCTGGATCAAGGAAAATATCACGATCGAGATCTAGATCAAGGTCTGGTTCAAGAAAATCCGTTTCGAGATCTAAATCAAGATCTAGGTCAAAATCCAGATCATTGTCAGGATCAAGAAAGGGTTCTCCATCTCGTGCAGTTTCGAGAAAAAGTTCACACTCTAGATCTAGATCAGGTTCCAGATCTAGTAAATCAAAATCTCGTTCGCGATCTGGTTCGAAGGTTTCAAGATCAAGATCACAATCTGGATCAAGAAAGTCTGGTTCACGTTCACGATCAAGATCAGGCTCTGGATCAAGATCACCATCTAGATCTCGTTCAAGATCACATTCAGGTTCACGATCGAAATCAAGATCGAGATCCCGTTCGCGGTCTGGTTCCGTTGCAAAATCTGCGGGTAGATCCCGCTCAAGATCTGGGACAAGATCGAGATCGCGATCGGCTTCAAAATCTGGGAGATCAAGAAGCCCGAGCAGAGAGTCAGAAAGTGGAGTAAAAAAGCGAAAAAGAATACTCTCCGATTCGGAGGATGAGAATGATGCTGCTAAAAGTTCTAAAAAAGCGGCACGTGAATTATCCGATAGCGAAGATGAAAGAGATCCCGATAAATCACCTAAAAAAAGAAATGAAGACGATCTGGAAGAGGGTGAAGAACACGATGAGAAGAAAGACGATGACGAGCCGACCAGTATCGTGCAACAAGATAATGAAGATTCTGACGATGGAGTTATTGCAGAGGGAGGAATGTAAGTTGATGAATTATTTTTTTACTACATCATAGCATAATAATCATAAATTAAGTCAAGAGATTCTTGAAAGTTTATTTCATGTAGAAATATAATAGAATACACATTTCCCTCTAAACATTATTCAAAAAAAAAAAAAAAAAAAAAAAAAAAGAAGAAATGATATTTATTGTTATTATTATTAATGTTTGCTATCCAGGAGCAACAGATATTTGTAAGTAATAGCATGAAGTAGGCAGATGATTTATTGACGTGGTCATAAATTATTAAATAGTTTGTAAAGAACAACGAATATAATATTAAAAAATTATTGATTTTAAGCTAAATAGCTCTTGAAGCTATTAAGTCAAATTATCATTTTTTTTTTTTTTTTTTTTTTTTTTTTTTTTTTTTTTTTTTTCATCGTTATACAATTATTTCTATTTTTCAGGGATGATTCAATGTCTGATTTTGATCGTATGCTGGCACGTAAGAAGGAAGAACAATCACGTAGACGCAAACGCAAAGATATTGACATAATTAATGACAATGATGATATTATTGCACAATTGTTAACCGATATGAAGGCTGCTTCTGAGGAAGATAGAAAGTTAAATCAATTAAATAAGCCAGCTACTAATAAAATTGCAATGTTACCAAAAGTATTATCACAATTAAAAAAACATGATTTACAATTGGCATTTTTAGAACATAATGTATTAGCAGTTTTAACCGATTGGCTAGCTCCAATGCCAGATCGATCTTTACCATCTTTAAGAATAAGAGACAGTCTTTTAAAGCTTTTATGGGAGGTAAGTTTAACATAGTAAATAAAGCGTTTACGATGATATGGTTGAACAAAAAAAAAAAAAAAATTAAATCTTTTTCTTTCTAGTTTCCAAGAATTGACCAAGCATCTTTAAAACAATCGGGCATTGGTAAAGCTGTAATGTATTTATATAAACATCCAAAAGAAACAAAGGAAAATAAAGAACGTGCTGGAAAATTAATTAACGAATGGGCCAGACCAATATTTAATTTGTCTGCTGATTTTAAAGCTTTGACGAAGGAAGAAAGATTACAGCGTGATATAGAACAAACACCACAAAAAAGACGAAAAACTGAAGAGGACGGATCTTCTCAAAAATCTCAGGATATTAACAAAGCCTTAAAAGGAGATGCCAAGTATGATGGGATTTAATTTCATGATGTCAGTATGAAGAAAACAAATGTTTTTCTAATTTTTTTTTTTTTTTTTAATTATCATTTTAGACCTTTGAGACCTGGAGATCCAGGATGGGTTGCCAGAGCACGAGTTCCTAGACCATCTAACAAAGATTATGTCGTACGTCCAGATTGGAAATCTGACGTAGACATAAGTAGAGTAAGTATTGTGATTTTCAATGTTAAAACATTCATATATATATATCGTCTATTATATATTTATATTAATTTTGTTTATAGAGCACTAAGAAACAAATGAATCGATTTGAAAGGCATATGAAGAATTATATGGATAACAAAAAAATGAAATCTGCGAGAAGAGCAGTTGATATATCCATAGAAGGACGTAAAATGTCTTTATAATAATGTATATCTTAGGAAAATGATAAAAAAAATTTTGCAACATCGAAAATATATATTACATCATGTTGAGCTCTCGTTATTTTCTGTAAAATTAAATGAATTTCTGTATAAAAATGTCTTTATAAGATATAATAATAATGATAATGATGACTATGTACATTATACGATATATATTTATGCTGATGCTAATCAATAATTCTATAAGTTAAATAACTAAGGAAACATTGTATATCCGCAATTCCGTATATTAATGATACTTAGCAATTCGATTATTTTTAACAATGTACTATATATAGGTTGTATTAGTTGCCATTCTTTTTTTTTTTTTTTACTATACATATATATATATATATATATATATATAAAAATAGTTCAAATATACATGAATTTTCAAATGAAATACATTTCTTTTTTTCTATTCTGTCATATAACGAATAAATAACAATCGTAAGTGTTTAACTAATTGAAAAGAAAGTAAATTAGAAATAGACTCTAAATGCGTAAGTAGTTCTACAAAAAATAAAAAATAAAAAAAAACTGATTAAGGCTGTTCATGCATCGAACATAGGTTAATTGTAAAAATTAAATTTTAAACGAAGATATGACATTTTCGAACGTTTGAAAGTATTTTATTTTCTTTGAAAAAAGTTGTGTCGGTTTTCTTTTTTTCGAAAATAATTTATTCATAAAAATAAAGCTTTACAATTGCAAAATAAAATCTGAAATAAAAATCGAATTTTAAAGTAGGGTAACATGAATCTTCAGATGCAGCAATCTGCATATGGTAAGATTTGGATTGGTATTATTTATATTGAAATTTAAATCTAGCTTATATAACGCAAGTAATACCAAGCTGATTGCATATTTAAATGCGTTTTGAAAATTTATTTATATTTAATTCTAACTAAACATTAAAGTATCTTAAATCTTACATTGTTAATCATATTTCGATAGATAAATAAATTGAATATAAAATTCTAAATATATAAATATATTTTAGAATAAAATTCTAAAATAATTTCTTTGAGAAACGCATTGAAAAATATTAATTTCTTATTTGTTCTTATTTATTTTTATGTATTCTTATTTCTCTTTATTTACGTTTTTAAGGTTAAATATTATATTTTCTATTCTATTTTTTATATGTCGTCATATCGAAATATTTCAAAATTTAAGATATCCATCAGCAATTTTCTTTCTTCGTAGCTTAATTAGAAATAAAAATAAAACGTATTACTGTATATATACATATATATATTATGTAGAAAAGATTATGAGAAAACAAATTCAATTGATTAAAACGTGAGATGAGTATAACCTAAACAAACTTATAACCAAATAGATGCATGTAGAGACAATGTTATACCTATTGCGTTTGTAGTTCGTATTTCATCCGTATCTGTCGCTGAAGTCGCATATATTATCAGCAATAGATAATGAATAACCTTAAATGGCTTCTTTCTCTTATAAAATTGTGGTCACCTAACCTATGAGCTCATTCATTATATACGTATATTATTTTGTTAAGTAGTAAATTAATTTTTATTACGAAGAAAAATTATTAATATATATCTATATAATATATATACTATTTACAAATATGGGAAAAACGTCAAAGGACAAACGTGATATATATTACAGACGAGCGAAGGAAGAAGGTTGGAGAGCACGTAGTGCATTTAAATTATTACAAATCGATAATGAATGTCATATATTTGATGGTAATGTATCTTGATATGAAAAGTAAATTTCTACGATTATCCCCTTTTTTTTTCCATTTTATAAATTAATATTTCTTATATTTGATCAACAGGTGTAAACAAAGCTGTTGATTTATGTGCAGCACCTGGTAGCTGGAGTCAAGTTCTTTCACGAAAATTAAAGTATGTAGATATATCATTGAAATAATACTAATATATTATTTAAATTTTAAATAATATAAAATTATTTTTCTATCCTTAAGTGAAAATTATAAGAAGGCATTGGAAGCAGGTGAAGCGACACCTCCCAAAATTGTTGCTGTTGATTTACAAGCAATGGCACCATTGGAAGGTGTAATTCAAATTCAAGGGGATATTACAAATACTGCCACGGCAAAGCATATAATTGCTCATTTTGATAACACACAAGCAGATTTAGTTGTATGCGATGGAGCACCTGATGGCATGTTCTTATATTTATTCATTTTGTTCTTTATTTTTGTTTTTTTTTTTTTTTTATTATTAACTTTGTAGATTTATATTAATAATAATTAATTATGAATATATCTTGTACTTTAGTCACAGGATTACATGATATGGACATATATATTCAGTCTCAACTTTTGCTAGCAGCTTTAAATATAACTACTCATATATTACGACCGGGAGGAACATTCGTAGCAAAGATTTTTCGAGCTAAGGATGTCTCATTGTTATATGCGCAATTGAAAATATTTTTTCCTTATGTCTATTGCGCCAAGCCAAGTAGTTCTCGAAATTCTAGCATTGAGGCTTTCGTAGTATGCAAAGATTATTCTCCACCTGATGGATACGAGCCACATATGTTGAATCCTCTTCTAACTCACGAACCTTGTAATTTTGAAAAATTGACAGGAGTTAACAGGCTCGTTGTACCATTTGTCGTTTGTGGAGATTTAAATCAACCTGACTCCGATACGTGTTATCCATTGAATGTAGGAATATATAATGATTTATATTAAAAAAAAAAAAAACAAAAAACAAAAAAAGATATGAATAAATATATATGTATGTATTATATTTGAAATATTTTCAGTTCGAAGGAAAAGAATACAAATATCATGAGCCAGTGCAAAGCCCAATCGCACCACCTTACGAAGAGGCACTCTCCTTGCTTGAGGATAGAAGTACTGATTTTCGAAAAGCAGACGTTAGTGTTATTATTGATAATGATCGTCCAATATCTTTATCTGAATTTAAAGAACAAACAAGGCGGAAACAAAAGTGTATAAATGAAAAAGTGATGGAGGAGAAAAAGACAGATGAAAATCAGGAAGACGTGTTGAATATACTTTCCTTGGATACATTACTTCATTTAAATGTATCTAGTGAAAATAATGATTTTGAGAAGTAATAAATTAATTTAATAAATTAATTTAAGTCGAAGAAAAATATTGTACAAAAACAAAGAAAATTTCTAATAATAAATGTTCCTACTTATTCTATCGTATAAGTCTCTATCTGCATGAAAATATTATATTATTGCGTATATACCTTAATTACTTGAATTTATCACACGTTCCAAATTACACCGAATCATCTTGTCGATTGTATTAAAATCTATACTAACAGGCAAAAAAAAAAAATTAGTAAACATTGACTCAAATATTTTCGACCTTCGACATGCCTTGTCGTATTAACAAGTATATAAATTTCATATACAAATGGAATTTTATTGCCTTTTGTGCCTTTAAATGAAACTAATCAGTGATAAGAAAATTTCGAATATGACGAAATAAGTTTTATAGAATAATCGAACAATTTATATTTAAAACTGGATTTCAAATATTTTTCTATCGATCTAGAGTTACAATCGCAATTATAGAGAAGAAAGAAAAATGTAAAAAAACAAAAGGACGTAATTATCCTGATATCGTTGAATACAATCTTTCAGGAATTTACGCTGTCGTTACGTTATGCGTTACGCTATTTGACCGTCCTTCGGGAATCTTATCAAAATGCTTGCAAATGAAGAAATTTGTAAACATTTACTCGGCGAAACATTTACAACTTCTTCGTCTTCATGTCTTCCTCTTGGGTAATTATATAAATTATTATTAATAAGAAATCTAAAAAAATATTACATATTAATATTTGCGCTTGTAAATATTACAGACGAATAGAACTTGCAACATTTGTGAGAAATTATTTTGTTGCGCTGAGTGTTGTAAGAGACATCAAAGAAACAAACATCCGGATCAAGAGTTTTATTGTCCGTTATGTTACGGTAAAAAATTGCCATTGCATCCAAAATTAGATGAGAAATTACTCTATCATGTAGCCGTCAATCATCTTCCTTTGTATTGTTATTTATGTGGTGATTTTTTCGAACAAAACAAGGATATCGAATTATTCGGTAACGTTTAATATTTCTTTTTGACTGGTGCCACGTGAAATCACGATCCATAATGATATTATATATAAAATATGTAAGGAGTAAAGAAGGGCTTTCGAATTTATATTTAAAAAATACAATTCCATTTGTATTTTTATTAATATAAATTGAAAATGAGAAAATGATTTCACATGGTATGAGATTTTTCTTTTCTTTTATTTTTTATTTAATTACAAATTAAATGAAACGAAGAATAATTATTATCTTTGAACTATAATATTAATGGGACTTTCCGAAGATCCATGCAAATTTTGGTTGGCACAACGACGTCCTCAAGTATCGATCTCCGAAAGAAGATCTCTCGTAGCCACGCCAATATTGTCAAATTTAGGAACAAAGAAGAAGGAACATTCGACGATCGACGGCGATTACAATGGTAATTTTGTTGGCCCATTAACGTCTCCGCCAGAACTTTATAGAACAACGAGTACGCCGATGCACGTTGCCGTAACAGGGAAACAGTCGAGTCTCGAATACAAGACTCCGCACGTGCCAAATTTTTTATTAAAGACACCAAACATAAGTTCAGCGACCTCGATAGTAAAAAGTTACACGTACGGATCAGAATCGAAAAGTAGCGATTTCGAGGGTAAGTCTAGCAGTTATTTGACTTGTTATACGAATCAAGATAAAACGCCATTTCGATCTTTACCAAGCGATTTTGGCGTGGAAGAACAGCTCTCAACAAAGAACAACCCAGGATTGATGTTATCGGTTATGCAAGAACAAGAAAGAACCGAATACATAACTGCTACCAAAACTAAATTATCGAACTATGAAATCGAAGGGTCGGCCGATGATATGGAATTAACCGGGGTCCATGGTGGTATATTACCGGAGATGAAAAACGTTGAAGTTAGAATACACGAGGAAAGAAGATCTAGTTCGTTCAAAAAGGTCAGATTTTCTGATCAATACGATAAAGATATTGAATCGGGTAGAGGTAGTATCGGTAGTTCGAATATGACGGAAAACGATGAATATTATGAAGCTCGAGAGTCGTTATCACGATCGACAGTTACAATGGAGGATGTACCAATGAAAACGGATAATGGAAAATTGACTAATATTGATGCGAATGCGTTTGATAAGAATCGAAATGAGTCGAAGGTCGATTCGAGATCTAACACGGAGAAGATTAGTGACAATGAAAATAATATTGAAAAGGAGAATCGATTTTATAGAACTCAGACCACTCATAGTAACATTGGTGTTACCCAAAAAACTGGTTGTTCTCGTGTCGTGATGATGGTGATAGTAGAGAACAATTCGACTTCTGGAACATCCAATATCGGACCTCTGATCGAATCTGGCTTAAAGCAATTGTCATCGATGTCAGATCTTGCCGATTGTAAAATAACAGATACGGCTAAAAGAGAGTTGATTAAATCGTCGATGGAAAATAATGTAAATACTGCAAATTATAAATTCTATTCGGATTCGAATTCGGTATCATCGCAGAGTAATAACGTGGAAAGTTCCTTGAATAGAAACAATTCTGCTGGTCTTTTATCCTCTATGACGCATGCGGTTAAACAAGCGCTCAGAAGTTTTCCCGGTATGTTATTAATTTTTTCCAAATCCATTGATATATGCGACTCATTGGTTTAATATTATTTTTTCCATTTTCTTTTTTTTTTTCTTTCCTTTCTTTTTAAACAAAATCTTAATAATTTTGGAAAGATGGATCGCCTAAAAAAGATTACACGTAAATTATGAAATATATATACGTATATATATATATATACATACATGTATATAATATAATAAACGTATATATATATATATATATGTATATAAACATATACGTTTTGATAATATATCTTATCGTAGGTGGGAATTTTTTAAAGTCTACTTCGAGCGAACAAATGTTTAAAAGAGACGAAATACCTTCGTCGTCCGCAGTCAATAATTATTTGTCAAATATTGCATCTTACGTGTCGAATAATTCGCGTAAACGATCAAGAGATTTCAAGGATGAATCTCCTACCTCAACGACGGCAACTGATTCTGCCGTTTTACATACCGATGATAGAAGTCCAATGGCGAAAAGACATCGCTACGGTTGGTATAAAATAAGAGGACGAGAACCAATTGCAAGGATGAAAAACAAGTTGACATCGCCTAGAGGAATATCCTCGGAAACACAAATTTTTAGTCAAGGTTCTTTGTCCGTTGGAAATACGATTATACCGATCCCATCACGAGCACATCAATCTGTGCAATCCGATGTTATAACTAACGATTAAAGTTCTTTCAAACGTTTCGAGTAATATTTAAGAGCAAAAAAAAAAGCAAAATATATATATATATACATTATTAGGTTATGTACGATATTTTTTTTTATTTGTCGATCCATCGTTGGATAAATTACATTTATTTTTGATTAATAATTACATTCTGTTTTCGTTTCTTTTCTTTTTCTTTTCTTTTCTTTTCTTTTTTTTTATTTCATTTTCTTTTTCGATTTGCTTCGTCGTAATATGTAATGACATAAATACGGACGAGTTTTTCGATAAACTATCTTGCGTTTTGGTATTTATTTACAATATATTTTCATAACTCGCGCCAGAAGATGTAATTGGTTGTTGTATCTGCGCAATGAAAAGGCGCAGAACGAAAAAGCGTCCAATCGTCACGTTTGGAATTGTAAGGTTATGTTTCGTTATGTTCAATATTGAAAACATTCGTAAATGTAACATATTATTCTTAAAAATTATCGATCGTTGCTCGAATAATATTTCTTGGAAATAATTTTATACGGAACAAGGTATAAATTTAATTTTCTTCTATCGTTATTATTATTTCTGGAGAATGAGTTTAAATTTGTACTAACTTTATAGATTCGGAAAATAATTTAAGGATGTCTTCTTGGAAGAAAGCAGCCAAAGCGACGCAAAAAACTCATAAAGAACGACATCAACCAGAGGCTCGTAAGCACTTAGGTCTTCTTGAAAAAAAGAAAGATTATATTGCAAGAGCAAAGGATTATCATAGGAAAGAACGAACTTTGAAGTTATTGCAAAAACGTGCTCTCAATAGAAATCCGGATGAATTTTACTTTCACATGATCAATTCAAAAATAGAGAAAGGTGTGCACAGAGAAAAAGATAAGGAAGACGAACATACTCCCGATCAGATTAAGTTAATGGAGACGCAAGATATAAAATATATTGCTTATAAAAGAAATATAGAAGCGAAAAAGGTAGAAAAGTTGCAGAGTCAGTTACATCTAATAGATGCTGCAAATGAAATAAAAAATAAGCATGTATTCTTTGTCGAAGACGAGGAAGAGGAAAGAAACTTTGATATTGCTAAGAAATTAAATACGCATCCTGCGTTATTGTCGAGGCGTACAAATAGACCTAATTTGTCTAAATTAAGAGATATAAAGTTTCCTAGAGTTGATGAAAATACTCTTGCTACCATTGAACAGCAAAAACACATGGCTTATAAGGAATTGTATAAGAGAATAGATAGAGAAAGAGAGTTAACTATCGTTCAACAAAAATTAGAAATTCAGAGAGCTCTAGCAAAGGAGAAAGAAATTAAACCAAAACAGGTCAAACCTGCAACGAGAGATTCTGCTCCTATATATAAATGGAAGTTTGAAAGAAAGCGTTGATATATTTTTATACATATTATAAGGTAAATTTATTTCATCACAATATTATTTTTGAGGAACTAAAATGTCAGCTATTAGATTATTTTACTTTCTTACTCATCATTATATAATGTTTCTTATTTCCATTACATCCTTTACATTAATAAATTATTTAAATTGTTAAAAGTTATTACTACTAGTTTTTTTTTTAATATTTATAATACAGAAATTCCTATATTCATTGATGATAATCCTGATATTTAATCTAGTGGCATTATTTTTGTCATTGACATTTACCCTGAAGACATTCCTGGCGTTCCCATCATTTGTCCTGGAGGCATCCCTGGCATTTGTCCTGGAGGCATTCCTGGCATTCCCATCATCTGTCCTGGAGGCATTCCTGACATTCCAGGCATTTGTCCTGGAGGAATTCCTGGCATTCCCATCATCTGTCCTGGAGGCATTCCTGACATTCCAGGCATTTGTCCTGGAGGCATTCCTGGCATTCCCATCATCTGTCCTGGAGGCATTCCTGGCATTCCCATCATCTGTCCTGGAGGCATTCCTGGCATCCCTGGCATTTGTCCTGAAGGCATTCCTGGCATCCCTGGCATTTGTCCTGAAGGCATTCCTGGCATTTGTCCTGAAGGCATTCCTGGCATTTGTCCTGCAGGCATTCCTGGCATTTGTCCTCCAGGCATCCCTGGCATTTGTCCTGAAGGCATTCCTGGCATGCCTGGCATTTGTCCTGCAGGCATCCCTGGCATCTGTCCTGAAGGCATTCCTGGCATGCCTGGCATTTGTCCTGCAGGCATCCCTGGCATCTGTCCTGAAGGCATTCCTGGTATACCTGGCATTTGTCCTGCAGGCATCCCTGGCATCTGTCCTGAAGGCATTCCTGGCATGCCTGGCATTTGTCCTGCAGGCATCCCTGGCATCTGTCCTGAAGGCATTCCTGGCATGCCTGGAATTTGTCCTGCAGGCATCCCTGGCATCTGTCCTGAAGGCATCCCTGCCATTCCCGGCATTTGTCCTGAAGGCATCCCTGCCATACCTGGCGATTGTGTTACTGTCATCGTAGTAGAAGTAGTTGTATTGGATATCCTTGGCAATTCCGTTGATATACTGATGCAATTGTAATTCAGTTGCCATAATTTATGTTTAGTAGCTATTTCGGTCCGAAGACAAGCAGTGATTGATCTAAAAAAAACATAAATAATACTTGGATATTAGTAATAATCATCGGATATAATCATCGAGAAGAATATTTTTTACCTGGGAAATTGATTCAATTCTAAAATATTTGCACAAACACTTGAAAAGAAACTGCCAGGTACTTGATTGCATATTCTAAAGGGTTTATACTCTATCGATAAAACAATATATAAGTAGAATTAATATATTTTACATATTGTTAAAAAAAAGGGATACTTTATGAAAGTCTTACCTGTAATAATTTGATTAGTTAAGATTATTGCATTCAGCGTGATATTTACTTTTAGTCTGTTCGTTTCATAAGTAAAATTGACACAAACTAAAAAAACAAGTGATCACTCAAAAAATTTCGCATGCATAGAGTAGAGTATATTAGAAGAATTGTTTTATTATATATTTATCAGTAATTTTTTTATTTTCAACCCACGTTGTTTCGTCATCTTGGTATAAATGATGATAACATTTTCGCAGCAAGAACAGGTGTAAGATGTAGGACAAGTGCATGATCTTCCATTTAACGAATTGGTTTTGAAAATCAAAAATGCTTTCGACGTGGGAAATCCTATGGTGTATTTGTTAATATAAATATATACTAGAGCTGCGTTCTTTGTGTATGTATGTATAATAAAAAAAAAAAAGCAGAGAGAAAAAAAAATTAAAAGAAAGAAAGGAACAATTTGAATCAACTAACTTTGCTTCTTATTTATATTAAATTCTGAAAAAATGCACAGTAGTAAGAGGAACGTTTTGCACAGACGTAAATTCATTTCTTCGCACGATTAGCTAATACCACAAATAAAAATAATATACAGTTCAGTTAATAATGCCGATGTTTTCACACTTTGAACTATCTAAGTATAATAAAATGAATGACGCTTTCTGGTCCGATGTCTATGCGATACCTTTTCTACCGGAAATAATAATCACTATGATGACCGATATAAAAGTTCATTGAATTTTAACGGAAATCAGCGTTATTTGTCACAATTGTTTGACTCGACACTTTATATCGCGATTGTTCAATTGAAAATCATATTTCTTTGCTTTGTAAAATAATTTTCGGTACTACAATCAAAAAAAAAAAAAAAAGGAAAAGAGAGAAAAAAAGGACTATCATTATAAAAGACTATCATATGCTTTCGATCAAACTCGAATCTATTTACAATAAAGAATTGGTCAAAGGTAATTATTAATTAAGATACATATGACAAAATAAAAAAAAAAATATATATATATATATATATATGTATATAAATAGAATAAATGTTTCTTTTAAAATCCTATATTAATTGTCGACGTATGTAAATAATAACAATTATGTTAAAAATCTAATATGTCGTCATCATCGTCGTCGTCATCGTCGTCATCATCCTCGTCATCGTAATTATCATTATAATCGGTGTCGTCATCGTCTGGAAAAATTTCAACTTGGCCTAATCCACCCCCATCTTCCGGCTTTATATGAGCTAAACCATTTGAACCAAATCGGATGCAATCTAATCCAACCTGCATACGTGAATATTATCATCGTTCATTATCATTTATATACTTAAATCTCCAACTGTACACATATATATATATATCGCTATGGATGAATATATATGTATATATATATTTAAATAGGATTATAAAAAATGCTTTACTTTGAACAACGTTGTATCTCTAAACTTTCCTTCCATGTTGATACAGAGATGTATATTTCTACCTTGAAAGAATATATTATAAAATCTCACACAGGCCCTAATGTACGGTATCCTTGGTACGGGCACGCAAATTGGTCTAGGATTTTTCCCTGAAACGAGTGGAAAATGAAAATCTTCAAAAAAAAAAAAAAAAACAAAAAAAAAAAAGAAACAATTGAAACGACAAAAAAAAAAGGAAGCATTATCCAGTCAGAAAATCGGTTAAGTAATCGAAAGAAGACAGATTTACCGGAAATCGTTCTGGTGTATAGAACCCTGTCGTTCATCAGAACGTTAGCAGTGAAACTGAACTCGTCCGGATCATAAGTCACGTTAACGCATGCCTTTTGTTTCCAAGTGGAAAATAATATTCTCGAACAACAACCACAAACACCTAGTGCACATTGACAAGGTCCTTGTCTGGTTGCTGTTATATCAGTCGACGTTGTACTCGTGGTATTTATCACAGCTTGTCTCAACAATGTCTCAAGATCTCTCATCGTTTCTTGATCTTTTAAAATGATCTTCGTATCATCCTGACGATTTATTACGTTCACTTTAGACTCCGATAATGAATATATAAGAAATAACAATAATGTTTGAACGATCGATAACCCTTGGATCTTCATTTTTTTTTTCCTTTTTTTTTTCTTTTTTTCATTTAAAATCAAATTTACATCTACATTCTTCCTATTGATAATACTCGATGAACGATCGAAAGACGACTGGTCAGTTAACGGAGGACGGTACCATATGACCCCGTTTTAAGGAGAAATTTAGGTTTACCTCAAGTTGTTCACCCGTATAATCGCATTTCGTTAGTTCCTCTTATAGAATACATAAGTTTATTCGCATGTTTGTATGCGTTACGTTATTATAACGTGACTAATACACACGCACACACACACATACACACACACACACATATATATATATATATATATGTATGTATGTATAATGGATACGATGATTCGATAGGGAAACGTTTAATGTGAAATGATCAAGTGTCAATTAAAATAATAATATTCGAATAAATAAATAATATAAATTGTATATTATATTTGATATAATAAATACAAAAGAAATTATATATATATATATATACACACATACACACACATATCACAAACACATGAATATCCATGTATCTAATGTAAAAACTTTATTAATAGAATTTAAATGATAAATTAATATTTTAACTGTCCGATCGAAGCTTCTTCTTCAGGACTATAAGTCGTACCAAGGACATTGTTAGTTACTACATCGATATCCGATTGTTCGAAATTGACTTCGTCGTAAACTTCATCTTTCTCGTTTTGATTCGACGTCGATGAATGAATAAGATCATCTTCCGGTTTCGATAATGATACACCATTCATACCGATTTTCATGCAATTGAAATGTAGAATTAAAATCGGTGCGTTTATTATTCGTGTTTCGAGATCTAAACATGCATGAAGATTTATGCCAGTTGTATGAACGTCAAAGAATCGTGCACAGAACGTTATTACTGGTATATAGACGAACGGAATGCAAACTGGTGGGGGATTCTTCGCTGTGAAAAAAAAAAGAACAAAAAACAACAATAAAATAAAGATCTTTACTGTGATCGATTATTATCTTTTTAACTCGATCGGTTAATACTCACCGGACAAGGAAGTAGAAAATATCTCTTTTTCATTCATACTAAAGGACATGTTGATAGAAAATTCTTGTGGATCGTATGTGAACTTGGTGCATGCACGTCGATTAAAATTTATTTTGGTTATATTGACACCCGTACAACAACCGCAGGTCATATTATTACAGAAACATGGAATTCCTCGAAAAATAAGCTTTGGCAATTGGTTGGGAGTTCTTTCGACGTCCTCCGGTTTACCATTTAATTCTAATCCTGTCGTTGGATCGTAATATGACGACATATACTCTGTCATATCTAAAAAAAAATTAGACACTTATTTAATTTCTTTTCGTTCTCTCTCTCTCCCTCTTTTTTTTATATATTATTCCAGGCGTCAAAAATATAAAATAAGTCGATAATTTTTAATCGTAATTATTTTCTTTTTATCATTTATTGAGTATATTTAAGCGATGATCTTGCGATTACATATATTCACCTATTTTTGTTATTTTCGTGGCGTAACTGATCATTGGAATAAGGATCAGCAAGAGAAATGATTTATAAGCCATTTTTTTGTTTGTTTTGTTTTCCGATTCACTAGCGCGATTATGATGTTTCGCGTTTCGATCCGAATTTAAGACTGATATTGGTTATACCTTGGACCAGACCAAGAAGACATTTAATTCATTATATATTCATAAACTTTCGATAGAAAGTAGAAGAATCAGACGTACTCAAAACTCAGTTTACCGTTGCGTTAATCTACACTCGATACTTTCATCTCGTTCCGTTCCAGTGCTCCATTTGTTTGATGCATATATACGTATGCATGTGTATGTATGTCTTACATCAGTGCAGTCGAGTATAAAGCTTTTTGATTAAATGATGATTACGGATTTTCGCATGGAAATTAATACAAATTAATAACTATTTGCAAAATATTTGATCGGTCGAATTGTTTTTTCTTCTTCTTTTTTTATTTTATTATTATTATTGTTATTATTATTACTACTATTATTATTTTTTTTTTTCTTTTTTTTTTTTTTTTTCTTTTTTTTTCTTTAATAAATTTGAAAACAAGACAAATTTTTTCAATCGAAGAGAGAACGATCTGTTAAAGTATATATAGGAATTTTAATTAAACGCTATATATAATAAAATTGAAATCCTTTTGAACGTGTAAGTCTTTATTACCTAATATCTAAGTACAACTTCAATAAGTTAATTAAATAATATTCATGTGCGTGTGTGTGTGTGTATAATAAATACGATTTGTTTTAAATAATATGAAATTATGCGAAGAATCGCATTATGGCAAAGGTCGTTTGACGATTTTTCGATTTATTTCAATTACGTCGATTAATATGTATCATCTCGGATAATTTCTTATTAATGTAAATTAGAAGATGAATTAAAGAAAAGAAAAATAATTGAAAAATTCGATAATCTTTTTCCGTATTTACGTTATATGATTGAATAAATCAATCATTCATCGAGTATCCTACAACAACGAGAATCTCTACGAGAAATATGAAAGTGAAAATTTTGCAAGTTCAATTACGAATAAATCTTCAATAACTTATAAAATTTCGTCAGATATGTTAAATGAAATGAAGAATGAACGTTTAAACTCGACTCGCAAAATTCATCCCAAAATTCTCGTATTGTCAAATTCGATAATTAAATTCGATTGGATTTTAAAAATCAATCGAAAATAAATATCTATAACCTCATGATTCTACTCTGACGGGCATCTTGTTTTTTCCTTGAGAGAAAATCAGTTATTCCAATGGAATAATCGTCCTCTTCGTCGGGACGACTCGATTGTCCTTTATTATTCGTTATGACTTTATTTTTCTTTTTTTTTGGCTTGTCATTTTCAACGAGGGCACTTAATACAGCATCCTCGTCATCGTCGTCATCTAAATCATCGAGATCATCGGTCTTCTCATCGTCCTCCTCGTCAAGATCAACGTTTTCGTTTAAATCATCGTCTTCGTTGTCATCGACGTCGTCATCGTCGTCGTTGTCGTCGTCGTCGTCGTCGTCGTCACTTAAATCATCAAGATCATCGTCATCGTCGTCATCATCGTCATCCAAAATTTCATCGTTCACGTCGTCATCGTCGATCGGTTTCTTCAGAGGTTTCTTCTTATTCTTCTTTTTAATGTCATCGTTAATCGCATTTATACTTGACGAAGTGATGCTAGGTTTTTTATTATTGCCCGTACCAATTTTTTTGATTTTATGATTAACCACTGGCTTTTGAAGTTTCACAAGTTTATTCGTCGGACTAGTCGTTTCTCCATTCTGATTGGTTTCAATGATCGTTTCATCGGTCGTAAGATCTGTCAATAAATCGGATTCCGTAAGTACATCGTTATTTTCATTATTAATTTGTTCCTCGATAACGTTTAACTCCTGACCATAATCATTCTGATGATTATCGTTTTGAGAGTCTAAAGTTTGGAAGATCGATACGTCAGAGGGTTCTTGTACCGATGAAACTGTTGTCGTAGGCCTTGTTAAAATGGGTATTGTGAATTGCAAGAGGGGCGGCGCGGTTGTTACTTTTGGCTTTTTCGTAGATGTCTCATCATCACCGGTTATGATGTCCAATAATGCACCAAATCCAAGGACATCGTCGTCGTCATCTTCCTCGTCTTCCTCTTCGTCGGCCAACCCAACGTTCGTTCCAATGTTGTCCGATACAGCATTTAAGCTTGGTCTAACCGCGTCATCGTCATCGTCATCGTCATCATCGTCGTCGTCCGAACCTAAACCGAAAAGATCATCGTCGTCTTCCTCTTCGGAAGTTTGTTCGGATTCAACGATCGGGAATGGTTCTGCCGGACGTAATTTCAGACCATCGGGACCGAATCTATAAGAGAAAAAAATATATCGATCTCCGAAAAACCAAATATTATAATACAAAAAAAATCGCTATAGTTTATATATGTATATCCAAATATTACCTAAAACAGCTGACACGTAAGCTGGCCTCCAATTCGGTTGACGATTGGAGTTCCAATCCAAGACAAGCTTTGAAATGATCGTTTGTGTCTCTTTTGATCGAATATATCCTTCCGCAAAACTTGCTAAATCCACCCGGTAATGGCACACAAACGGGTTTTGGATTTTTACCTTGAAAGTAAAATTTAAAAAAAAAGAAAAAAAAAAAAAAGAAAAAAAATAAAATAAAATAAAAAAATAAGAAAAAAGGAAGTAATAGAAAAGAAAAAAATTAATTCGAAATAAAAACAATGATATTAATCATTCACATCGTATCTCCCATAAAAATCGATCCCGCAAGAACTCTTTCCAAATTCTAAATCTCATCGCGAAAGTTCAAATGCAAACTTTCACCTTAGAAACATGAATATAAATATAAATATTTATTTATGTATGTATAACGATGACACGAATTCCACTCCCACGCGTTAAGCATATTTCTCTTCAAATAATTTTTTGTGTATGTCTTTCTTTTTCGTTTTTTTTTTTTTTCATTTCTTTTTCTTTTCTTTTCTTTTCTTTTCTTTTCTTTTAGCAATAAGTATGCATCTGCGAGTATGCGTACTCGATACTTCCGATGGCTGTCGCTGTGTTCACGGTCATTTGGTGAAAGTCACCATCGCCGAATGACACCTTAATATCTACGGGAATAGTCGAAACCTCATATCCGTGTAATTAACACACTTCCTAACCGCATATAATGGTTATGGGCAGACAGAGTAACACGGTATAAGTATGATAGAAGTTATCCTTTCTTATCTTTATTTTGCTTTTTTTTTCTTTCTTTTTTTTTTTTTTTTCACTTGTCACGGAATGATGCACGAACTATGGAGTCAACTCGTTACACGATAGACAGAACGTAAAGATTGCCGATGCGTTCGAGACCATGGTTTTCCTTGTGGAAAATAAATGGAAAGAGGCGGCACGTGTTACGGTTACTATATTACTCTCTCTCTCTCTCTCTCTCTCTCTCTCTCTCTCTCTCTTTCTATATATATATATGTATATATAATATATATTACATATTTTTACCGTTAACGATCGTAGATGTAAGAATGTTGTCGCCAAAGCTCAATTGTACCGCCAAATTGTCATCTTTAAGATATTGCAAAGAGGCACATCCTTAAGAATAATGATAGAAAATAGATTAATAAATTAAGATTTCATTGATTTCGTTAAAGAGATTGAACATAATTTTGCGATATTATTCGGTTTATTATTAATTACCTGGTCCTTTTAATTCTACCAATGGAATGTGAAAGTTACGACAACAATTGCAAATTACGTCGCTGCACGTGCAATATTTGTTAACGTTCTCGGCGGTTTCGGTTATTATCGGTAACTCGATGGATTGTTTGGGGACATTGCTGGCTCGTATACTTCGATTCACTGCTACGAGGCCTGAATCTGTTAAACAATAGCAAGACAATTAATATCTGTATTGATTTTTCTTTTTTCTCTTTTGTATTGTTTTTCTTTTCTTTTTTTTTCTTTATTTTATTTTATTAATTTAATATTCATTTACGTCACGATCTTCTTACCGATTACTCTTCCATATGCAGCGAACGCTACCAATAAAAGTATCAACAACAATTCCACCACAGTTGACAGACGCATCCTTACGATTAATCTGCAATTATATGAATTCGTTTAATACGATTAAATTTTAATGACATTACCAAGATGGAGTGAATTATTAATTATTTATATGCTTTGTGTCACGCGTTAACTATTCTCTCTTTCTCTATCTCTCTCTCTCTCTCTTCCTTGACTTTATAAAGCGCGATTAATTATGATCCAAAAGTTCATCCATTTTTTTTTTTTTTTTAAACGACAATTACGACTTGTAATTTAAGAATTACGAAGACAAGAAGAACAAGTTGATCGTTGATCGATATAAAAAGAAACATCTGTCGGCCCGTATAATTATGATTAATTGATAATTGATCTTACAAATTGGACAACGTGAAATTCGAATTCACAACTGTGACAATAATAATTGTTAAAAAAAGAAAGAGAAAAAAAAAATTAAATAATGCCAATGAAATTTATTATTTTACGTTTTGAGTTCGATTTAATTTAAACACCAAGAATATTCATAATCGAATATATCAGAGCTAATAAATTTAAATCAATCGATTTATCAGTTTTAATTATTGTTAAGTATTCGATACGATCGACGTCGAGGCCTTTAAAATGTATTTTTTCAAAATAATCGAAAAAAATATTTGAACATGTAAATTATATTTAAAATGAAAGTTTATACTTTTTTTTGGTACTCAGCTAAGTATAATGAATACTTCAGACAAAGATAAAAATAATACGAAATAAGAAAAAGAGAAAAAAAAATGAAATGAAATGAAATAAAGAGGAACGATTCTCTGTCGAGTTCATTCGACTTTCGTCGATATATATATACACATATATATATATATATATATATATATATATATATATACACACATACACAGGCCGAGAGTCTGGTTCGCGACCGCTTGACCTAAATCTCGGTCACGGTCAAAGCCAACAATCTTTCGTGAGATGCTACGTGCGAGTATAAGAGAAGAGAAAAGAACAGAATGAAGAGAAGGACGATGAATAAACACGATGGAGAAGAAGTTAGCTCATCTTTTATATAGCGGATATAACTACTGCGTCGTACGAGTGCACGGTAATGGGTGCATCATTATGAACAACTTTATATGGTCGACTTATTCTCCTACCGATTTAAAATTTTAATATTCCCGTCGAGTGATTCGTTCGTGTCCACCGAAGAAAACCGTTTTGATCGATCATAACCGATCTTGAAACAGTTTTAATGACCGATAAATAACTACGAACTATCTTTAAAACGGAAGTAAAACTAGATTCAGCTTCGTTAATCCTAAGACATTCATTTAATTATCTTTAATACCTGTTAGAAAAAGAAAAAAAAAAGAAGAAGAAGAAGAAGAAGAAAAAAGAAAAAACAAAATAAGAACGAAAGACATTGACCGGATCGGATTGATTGGATTCAACGATGAACATTTTTAACATCTTATCTCCGTACCATGATAAATGACATATAAATCGTATTTAAATAAAAATATAATAAAGAGATATAATTTTCTTTTGTACTCACCTGTAACGCAAAGTCAATTGTATTAGTGAAAAATAGAAGTTGACTCGAGTACTATTAACAAAGATGGAATCCTCTCTCTCTTTCTCTCTCTTTCTCTCTCTTTCTCTCTTTCTCTCTCTCTCTCTCTCTCTCTCTCTTTCTCTCGTTAAAAAAGAGCTTCTATCTTCGTCGCACCCTTTCGACTCCTTTTCCCTGACTCCTTAGTCTTACGGAGGCCAATGTCCAACTGAAGATGCCACCCAACTCCCCCCAAGGTTTCTTTAAAAGTCGGTCACAGGCCACCACCACAGCACCTGCCACGGCCGATGCTAGGATTATTAAAGCATTCTAATGCGTTCTAGGGTAAATAAAGATCCTACCGTGTATGATCCCCACTACTTCTTACTATTACGATCGTTCCACCAGCTTGGTCGACTCTTTCAATGTCAACGACCAAAAGGATATAGCATGAGGAAATCGTACTCTCTCTCTCTCTCTCTATCTATCTATCTATCTATCTATCTATCTATCTATATCTATCTATCTTTCTTTTCGTTCGTGTTGCCTTCGAAAGAGTCACGGTCAAGAACGCGTGTTTGGATGTCTCGGCTATGGTCGCTCGTTTCTCAATGAAGGATTTCTTACTTTCGAACTTTAATTAAATGATTCACATGTATCTTAAAAAAAAATATTCTCCCTCCTCCGCTCCCCCACCCACCTCCCACTGCCCCTCCTCGTGAAAGTGGGAAGTTATTTTTAGACGAGATTTATTTTTCTTTTATTTATCTTCGTCTTTTAATATCTTTCTTTCTTTTTTTTTTTTTTTTTTCTTTTTTACCTTTCTCTACTCTTTTTTCTTTTTTTCTTTTTTTTTCTTTCCTTTTTCTTTTTCATCCAACTCGTTTACAGTCTCATTCTCGGATTCGTTTAGATTATGAAAACAATGTTGTGCGGACGTTCGTTTTTTTTTCTTTTTTTTTCTTTTTTGTTCTTTTTCCTCCAGTTATAAATTACAAGATAATTGAAAAGAAAATTTATTTTATATTTCCATCAACGGTATAAATTCTAACGAGGTAGTCCCACTTTTCAATATCTCCTGTCGCAATAAGATT